ATCGCAGGACGCCCAGGCACGGCAGCGCGGCGGAGGCGCGTGCGGGCATCGGAGTTCCGCTCCGCCGCAGCTCAGGAGGGGGCCGGCGCACCGATCCCTCGAGCCCACATCTCGCTTGCCGCCGAAGGCTGAAACGATCTTCCCACGCCTCCCACTCGGCCCCAAGTCCCCCCCCCACCCCCCGACCACCCGAGCGTGCCTTGGTGCGCAGGCGCTGCGACACGGCGTCGGGCCGCGCGGCGATGTTGGAGAAGTGCAGCACGCGCTCCACGCCGCCGTGCTCGCGCACGGCCTTGGCGATGCGGGCGGGGATGTCGACGTGCACCTCCTTGAACCCGTAGTTCCAGGTCTCCTGGTCCGCGCCGATCAGGTTGATCACGACGTTGGAGCGGGAGATGGCGCGGCGGTATGCGTCGTCGTCCCGCGGGTTGAAGTTGGGCAGCATCACCACCTGCGGGTGTTGATTGAAGGGGGGGGGGAGGGGGGGCGATATGGGTATGTATTGAAGAGGTTTGGCCCTCCCACAACGTCGGGTGTGGGCTCACAACAAGCGAGGAGGACTGCTGGCGCAGCACGCTGTCGTCCCCCCCCCCAAACCCCAAACACACATCCCCTCTCACCTGGCCCAGGTCGCCCATGGGGCGCAGGTGCTGCACGTCCAGATCGTCGCAGCGGTGGGGGAAGACCAGCTGGCAGCCGATGCGAGCCAGGCTCTGCGCGATGTAGCGGCCTAGGAAGCCAGAGCAGCCGAAGATGGTGGCCGTCACGCCGCTCACCTGCGGAGGTGGGGGTTGGGTGCGGCGGTGACACGCGTGACGAGGTGGGCTCTGCGGAGGGGGCCCATGGCCGGGCGCAGTGCGATGGCTGGTGGAGCCCGAATGACAGACACCACTGCTCCCATCAGGGCTCGCAAGCATGTTCCCCACTACCCCCATCCAACCAGAAACGCACCGAGGAGCGCCCGCCCTTGCCGCCCTGAATTGCAGAGTTGGTGCGGATGGCGAGCTCGCTGGGGTAGGTGGCCATCCCTCGGCTAGAGGCCTCCACGGCCGCACCTGCTCAGGAACCGTAGCGCCGCTCATGGTATGGGAAATGAATATCGCCTCGGTGGCTCGTTGTGATCGCATTGCGAGGCACCAGGCTCTTGGGCGGAATGGGGTAACGTGCCGTGCCCACACGGGCGCAAGAGGCTGGACAACCTCCCCTCTCCTGAAAGGCCCCCACCAGATACAATCGGTCTCACCATGTCGCGGCATCAATGCCCTCAGGGCTGTCATGGTGGCCCGGGACATGGCGCCTCAACGAGTCCCAGGGCTTGGGACACCTGCGACCGTGACGCAGTGAGACTGGGCGCAGGAGCCTGGTCAGGGCGGGGTTCGCGTGGCCCTTCTCGTGATCTTTTCAAAGCGATGCTCAGGATCGCAGTGAGTGCTCCGTCCCTGCAGGCACAGCTCGGTGCCGGAGATACAGACAGGGTTTGCTCCCTCTCTCCGTGCAGGGAACTCCCAGTCCCCTCGATTTCCCGCCGGGGTCGGCCTTTCTACAATGGGACCCCGCGTCAGCCCTGTGATTGTAACTTTTTACTAATGCAACCGCAGAGCGCTTATCTCATCGCAGTCCCCCTTGCGCCGTCATACTGATAATTTGACAAGATCATTCGGTGCTCTGTCGACCCCACTGCGTGTTCACCCCTCACTACCCTTGCTGCCCTGCCATTCACTCCGTAGCGGAGGGGGAGCCAGGATGCACTGCTGCAAGGCCGCCCAGCGGGCCCTGAACGGGGTATGTTGGCGTTCGATCCACTAGTCTGGGCCATAGGCGAGGAGGCGTGCATGGGGTTTGGCCTTGTACCTACCTCACTCTCCCCCTCTCCACCAACCCTCACAGGCTCGGGCCGGCAAGCTGTATGGCCGCTTCTCCGTGAGCGCCAGCATGTCCACAAAGGTGCGTCGTTGGAATATATGCTCTTTCATATTGTATAGTTGCAGTCGATGTAGCGTTCCAACCTGCTGCCTTCGTCGCCGCAGGCGCCTATGAGCCGTGTCGAGCCTGACGAGTTCGTGAACGACCGTTACGACGCCATCGAGAAGAGGCTTGGGGTGAGTTGAAGGTTCTCGGCGCTGCATATTTGGGGTTGCTCGCGGCCGCGGCACCGAGGGTCCGAGGGTTCTCGCGAGTCTCTCCCACAGGGTTTGACCCTTGTGCTTCGCCCCCTGCCTCCAGATCGTGCGCGGCCGCCTGAACCGGCCCCTGACCTTTGCCGAGAAAGTGGTCTACGGTCACCTTGACGAGCCCGAGAGCCAGGAGATCGAGCGCGGCGTCAGCTACCTGCGCCTGCGCCCTGGTGAGTGGATGGCGCGGGTGATCGGTCGCCGGGCCAGAGGGGGTCCCATGTAATGGGGATCAGGAGAGGCGAGATGTTGGAAAGGAGACCACTGAGGGAAGTGGTCGCAGGACACCTCGTGCATAGCATTATACACTGATGCACCGGAGATCATACATATAGACTCACCTTCCTCTCCCCCCCCCCCTTGCCGCCAGACCGCGTGGCGATGCAGGACGCCACCGCCCAGATGGCGGTGCTCCAGTTCATCTCCTCGGGCCTGCCCAAGACGGCGGTGCCCTCCACCATCCACTGCGACCACCTGATCGAGGGGACCACCGCCCCCCAGAGCGAGCGCGAGAACAAGTACGGCGGCGTGGCGGACCTCAAGTACGCCAACGTCACCAACAAGGAGGTGTACGACTTCCTGGCGTCCGCCGGGTCCAAGTACGGCATCGGCTTCTGGAAGCCCGGCTCCGGCATCATCCACCAGATCGTTCTGGAGAACTACGCCTTCCCCGGCTGCCTCATGATCGGCACCGACTCCCACACGCCCAACGGCGGCGGCCTGGGCGCGGCGGCCATCGGCGTGGGCGGCGCCGACGCGGTGGACGTCATGGCGGGCCTGCCCTGGGAGCTGAAGGCGCCCAAGGTGATCGGGGTGCGGCTGGTCGGCAAGCCCTCGGCCTGGACCAGCCCCAAGGACGTCATCTGCAGGGTGGCGGGCATCCTGTCCGTCAAGGGCGGGACGGGGGCCATCGTGGAGTACTTTGGCCCCGGCGTGGAGGCGCTGTCCTGCACCGGGCAGGCCACCATCTGCAACATGGGCGCGGAGATCGGGGCCACCACCTCCATGTTCCCCTTCAACAGCCGCCAGTACGACTTCCTGGTGGCCACCAACCGGCGCGAGATCGCCGACCTGGCCGACTCCTTCCGCGACAACCTGAAGGCCGACTCCGGGGCCGAGTATGATCAGGTGATCGAGATCGACCTGTCCACGCTGGAGCCACAGGTCAACGGGCCCTTCACCCCGGACCTGGCCCACGGCATCAGCGAGCTGGGTGACGCCGCGCGCGCCGCGGGCTGGCCCACCGAGATCAGCGCCGGGCTGATCGGCTCCTGCACCAACTCCTCCTACGAGGACATGCAGCGCGCCGCGTCCATCGCGCGCCAGGCCATCAAGGCGGGCCTGAAGGCCAAGGTGCCCTTCACCATCACCCCGGGTTCCGAGCAGATCCGGGCCACCATCGAGCGCGACGGCCTGATCGAGGTGTTCGAGAAGGTGCGAGGGGTTGGTGGCTTTTGGAGGGGGGGGGGGATGTGTGTGGGAGGGGTAGAGGGGTGCTCCAGAGGAGGGGTCCGAACCCGAACCCCACCACTGCTTCCCTGTCCTCCCTTCCGTACTGGTCAACTCCTCTCCCCCCCCCCCCCCATAA